ATTCCTGTTGTAATATATCTGTGTTATTCCATATACATGTTCGAGTTCTTCTTTATTGGTTCTAGCTTGGACTATCACCGTGGTACAAGGAACCGGACCATAATACCTGCATACGCATTGGACATACGAGAATAACCCAATCGTACTTACTAAATAACGAAGATTGACCACTATGCCAAATATGTGAAATGGCATACAGGATTAAACATATATTAAGCAAGTGTTCAGACCTTGCTCTCTCAAGACAAAAATGCTATAATATAAACAACATGTATGACCTCTTTGAGAAAGCAAATGTAGATGACATAATATTATTACTTAAAACAGTCAGTCTCTACCAAAAAATATAAACCAAATGAGAATGCCAATAAAATCAATTTCTCTACAAACTGTATATCGGAAAAGAATGCATTAATGAAACCAGACTCTCGACAAAGACCCTCTTTGCAAAAATACGTCAATGAAACCTGATCTACAAACTGATTTCTTACAAAGAATACATATTCTATTCTTACGAAAATTGTAAAAATCTTGTCGGCATTAAATAACCCACTGAGGTTGATATGCCATAAAATAAAACATAACAAACCTAAATCTGACCAAAGGAACAAACATCAAAATGGGTGGGAAATTCCTTTTCGTTAACTTTTCATCAACTGCTAATACCTGTTAGTTTATATCTATCAATGTATTTGTATCTATCGTTTTCACTCTTTTAGCCAAAATTTGAAGCTGCAGAGAAAATCGAAAATAAGGTGATTTGAGAGACTAACATTCAAACCCCATCACCCATATCAGACTAGTCGTTTAAATTTCGTTATTATAAACAAAGGCAAGATATTCTCTCTATGGATGCAGCCTCTCCAACAAACAGATGTAAAATATTGAAAAGATAAAGACCTTATGTCAGTTTCATTATGTACGTCAGTATTTTCACAACGATTTTGTAGTATTTAAAGGATATACTTATCTTTATGTGAGAAATATATATTGTGTTTCAGATTATATTAAATATTTTACAAAAGTTTTGGGCAGATTCTTAGTGAATATAGTCAATCTACTAACAATGAAATCCTCAGAAAACTTTGTGGAATTGACCCAAGGCTCCCATCCAGAGCAATCAGATGGTAAGCATGGATGGGGTGAGCGTGTTCTACAGATCAGAGATAACGGTGATTCAAAACTATTTGGAATCAGATCTCTCCCTGGCATAACATACTAACACTCCAATAGATAATCTGATAGACAACATTCTTACAACTAGAGCATGACATATACCAACAGGAGGAAGGCTTGGCTATGGGTTCACAGTTGTCACCAGTGATTGAAAACATATATATGGAATACTTCGAGAAAATGGCTTTGGAAAGGGCACCACTAAAACCAACAGTATGGCTGAAATACGTAGATGACACCTTCATACTCTGGCAGTACCTGGAAGCTACACAAATACTGCTGGATTTTGTGAAATCAATAAGATTTTTGATCCAGTTCACAATGGAAGAAGAAATTGATAATCGGCTAGTCTTCCTGGATATAATAATAACTCGCATACAGAAAGAGTTCAAGACTTGCATATATTACAAGAGAACCTTCATCGGGAAATGTCTCAACTTCAATTCCCACATCAATTCAGTGTGAGAAAGGAATTTCCGTTGCCTACAACATCGGTCAAAAATCATGAGTAGTAACTCATACACATAGCAACAAGAAATCATCAGCATCAAGCGTAGCCTTCAGAATAACAACTACCCTCCAGCTACATAGAGGAGTGAGGCAATGAAATCAGGCATGGCTGACCATGTATGAAGGGGATAATCATTCCTGTGGAAATACTTAACAAGGAAGAACACTAGAAAGTTAGACGTCTGAAAGAATCAGCGCATATGCAAGGCTATGAGGATCTCCTTCGTAGGCCTAGCATGAAAATAAATATCATATGGGAGCCACTAATAAAGAAAGAAAGACAAATGATAGTAAGTTTTCAACAGCAGCAATTGTAAAAAAAGAAAATTTTCAGACACTGATGTCAAGCATGACAAACAGAAGCAGCAGCACTCATCAGCAGGCGGGTTAGGTTTAAAGACACAAGTTATTCACAAAGGATTGTCCTAGCGGAATAATGCTTCATGAGTTCAATATCTGGTCCTGACAGTATGTACTTGAACGTAGTAGAAATAGTGAGGGCAATAACTGAACAGTAAGCAAAAGTAAGAACTAGACGAGATATCTCGCGATATCCCTGGGCAGTAAAACAAGAACAGTCTACTCCCGTAGATTAAAGGGTTAAGTTCGGAATTGCCTGTCGTTTACCCGTATCGACAGATGCCTAATGAAACCCGGATGAAACAACGGTCGAAACGTTGTGATAACAAAAACAGTCAACATGTAAATAGTGTAAATAGTTAATATGAACTCGTTCACATTCTAAGCGTAAACTATTCATTTTAATTTTTCTACTGGTTCGACGTTACTTCTGACAATTTCTTTTCTTCTTTGTTTGAATACTGCTTTCCATTCTCATGTACATAATTTTTAATGATGGACAAAATGTTCCCTGTTTTATTCATATATGGAAAAGGCTATAGTTCCATTCGCTTCATTTCGTATCTTTGAAACCTTTCATTGCAAAGAAGACAATATTCAGTTTTGAAGGAGCATTGTCTTGCATAAATATACACTTGAGTTTAAAGCTTGTTTGTCACCTGTATCACTAAAAGAATTGTCTAAGAACTTACAATACTTCTCTGCATTTATCTTGACAACACCATAAAATTTAATTGCCTGCAACATTAGCTGAAAATATTACGATATTTCCCCACTTTTGTTTTTTAAATTGTATTTCTTAAATATTTTAACAAAGTACAGATTCAATGTAGATCTACACTCATCACTAAAATTACTGTTGATAAATCAGTTTTCACTTACATATCCATCCAAATTAGATGTTTCTCTTTGTGATGTTTACTTAAAGACAGTAATTTTGCTCATTTCTTATCTTTAGCCAATATTCACCATTTTTTTTCTCTCGTCTTATATCATCAACACTAGTTCCTGTTTTCTTATACTGTGTTCCTATTTCTCAATAACTTTACAAAATCATATTTATTTTTTAGGTAATATCTTTCTACGAGTCATAGCAATTTTTATATATTTTAAATTAAAAAAGTAACTATCAATAACTATACAGGTATATATATTTATTTACAACATGATGAACAACTCTCGAAGTGCATAATAAAATAGCACACCGTTAATTACATTAATTGTAAAAATAATAATTTAATATCAGTTTGTTATTACCATTTTTATTGTGAAAACATTGATTTGCATACTGAAGTCATCCAGATATCACCAGAGAACAAGTGTTTTCAAAAATCAATGAATCATTTTGTATCGATCATCAAGTACATAACAACAAAAAAATGAGAGGGCTTTTAAAACTGAGGAAGAAAGAAGATCAGGCAACAACAGAGGAAAAATTGATAAAACTATTTTTTTAAATACTGAAAATTTAAAAATATTTTCTGCCATTTGATATCTAAGGAAAGCCACCAAAATATGTCATTGGGATTTAGATTCCTAAAATATTATAATTCTTTTGTATGTAACGCTTTACTTTATTGTCTGATCTAAGATTTAAGTGTCGAAAATTGATGAACAATTAAATTAAAATTTATAATCAAATTTTAATGGTTACTTCTTATTTATTTCTTCGGCCAAACATGTTTGATTAGAAAATTAGTTGAAGTAAAGTGAAAATGCGAAGGAGAAATTGAACAATTTTAAATAAACCTGTATTATTGAATATGCAAATTTACGGAAATTTTTATCCTCTTTTGATCGGGCCGAGAACTTTCCAACACCCTCTCGTATGCACACAAGTTATAAATGTGGTTGGATCAATAAGTTTGTAGGCTGAAAATATTATTAGTTGAATTTTGATGCAAATATTCCATTTTTCTCTCTATACAATAGAAGTAGAAACTGTTGATTTTAAGTTCATTGTCAAAAATGGAGTTTATTTTTAAAAACTGAATAGAATAGTCGTATATACCATTTCAAAATAATTCTTCTTTTCTACACTATGTTACGTATACACAAACACACCCACCCACACACACACACACACACATATATATATATATATATATATATATATATATATATATATATACAATTATTAATATATTTTCTGTTGATACGTTATTGTTAGATACAATCTATTTAAGTAAATGCTTTTTTTTTTTTTCAATTAAACAGTATTATTTACATTTACCGGCCTGAATGAATGTTCGAGAAATTTCGTAGAAAATATGCATTTTCCGACAGAAATCGAACCTCTATTCCTATACGGAAACCGTCATTTGACCATTTAACTACAGAATATATATGAGCAGAATAGCTTACCTAATACAATAGTGTCATAGTTCTTTTTATGTGCCCTTTCTGTTAACAAAATTTATCCCGAAATTTTCTTCTCACAGCCTGAGATTTGCTTTACAATGACTATTTTTAATCCATAAAAAGAGGTTCGTAGTGTTTTAGACGCAAATTTCTGCGCACCATCACAATAAAGCTGTCGGAAATTTCTCAAATATATTATTAGCCGCCTTTAGACTTTTTGTTAATATATGCAAATGAAAAAAAAATACATATACGATGTTCGAAAGTATTCCATTCTGAATATCCCGTGAATCGTTTCCACAAAATAAGACAAATATGGAAAGATTGCACAAACTTTTTCAGCTACCAACTTATCGTTTCCAATGTCTCTCGAAATGAAGGACCTCATTTTTAACAATCTTCTTTTTTTTTTTGAGAAGCTATTTCGCGTCTTAAATTCTCTGTATTTCGTGGCAGCATTACAAGTATGTATAGAAGTGTTGCTGACCTAACGTTTAACGCAGAACAAAATTTATTTCTTTATGGGGGAGTGCTGAAAGGCTCGACTAAAAAAAAACTCCCAAAAAAATCTCATATATCATCTGTCCAGATTTTTAGAGAATATCACAGCAACTCGGATAGATAGATAGATAGATAGATAGATAGATAGATAGATAGATAGATAGATAGATGGTAATATTAACCGTACTCTTATGAGAAAAAAATCTAGCACTCAATGACCGAGCAGCCAGTGCTACTTTTATTTAAAATTTGTAAAAATTTTCTATTAAAATATTTTTTCAGGAAATAATTTTCTGAAATTCACTATCCATTTTAGTTGTTGCCGCTGCTGAAAGTCCTCAAGTGATGTGTTTTCTTTTATTTTTTTATAGTTCTTTGTGATACTGTAAGAAAGTCTCGAGCTGACGTAACTATTTCAGAATATGACTCGAATTTGTAGATTAATGTCTTGGTGTTGTAGAAATATACAGCGAGTAGTTCAATTTCCTTATCTCGTATACTAAATGTGTTATAAATGAACCATACACCAAAGTATTTGAAGTATTTAGTATTTACTAATTTCACAACATGAATTTTTATGATGGATTCAGTGTCCATGCCATCACTGCTTTCATTCCAGTTCTAGATCATAGTTTCTGTTTTGGAAAGGTTTATCGTGAGTCCTATTTCTTGGAGCAGATGTTGGTCTTTTGTTCATAATCATTTTTATCCCAACTATATGTACCTATATCATCATCAGTACACTGGTCTCGGGAGTAAAAACAGGGACGCTGTTTTCTATTAGTATATTCGATTGGAAAGTGATATGGATTGTTTTAAATGATCAATGTCCATATGTAGGAAGATATCAAATAGATTGGACCTTTCATTTCCTCCTTATCCTACTCTTGGTGAGGTTTTAAATATTTTGGTTTTGGATTCTTCGCCAGACATGTACGATTTTGTGAACTGATATAGTCTTTTTTATTATATCTAGACATTCAGTGGATTCAGAGCTTGAAAGGCGATTTCTATTGGATGAGAAGAGGAGGTCTCTATTGATGTGGTTATATGCTGCTATCAGGTCGATATAGCAGGTATACAATTTTCTATTGGAGAGGTATGCAATTTTCTGGAGGTTGTTTAATGGTATTTATGCTATTATTGCACCACTTACCAGAACAAAACCAAATTGGGTTATGAGAAGAGAGATAGATCATATCTATGATTAAGCTTAATTTATCAATTATACACAATAAGATATTAGCAATAGTAACAAATAATACAATATAACAATTATAAAAATATAATATAATAAAGTGTTTTTGTCTGAACGTAAATCGTAACAGATTCAATATATGATTTTGTTCTCTTCTTAATTAAATCGACAATCTTCATCTTTTGGGTTAAAATAAGCATCTTGCAAATTCTTTTCGCATATTCTGAATAACAGCTTCCATACTTTTGCTCTGTGGGAATAATGTTAAATAAAACTTATGAATTGTTTATTTCTGGATTTGACCGCGGTTAACTAAAACCACTAAAAGGGGGACCCCCCACACACACACACACACATATATATATATATATATATATATATTATTGTGAAGATATATAGGTTGGCTATGCATCCTATGTTACAGTAAGCAAAATGTTGGAGAATTCTTTAAAAAAGAAATACAATTGAGTTTGTAAAGAAAACAAATGACTATTCTCTCAACCAACACAGACAATTGTCTCATAATGCTGTGTCTCCCATAACGGAATCCGGCATAATGCCGCTGCCCACCCCGCACCTACCCGAGACAAAAAGGATGCTGGCTACCGAGAATTCATTACAATACTATAATGCATTCGGCACAAAATTCATTTGAAAAACGATTTTGCTGAGAAGATACGAAAACAGAAGCCAGAATAACAAAAGAAAACACAAGTGGATACAAAAAAAATGAATTGGTACAGATAAAACATACAATCGAAACAAATAAAATAGGGAAGAATAAATAAATATATAAATAAATAAATAAAATGAAATTAACAAAAGGGGAAAAATGAATATAAAAAAATAACATATTTAACAGGCAGGAAGTAAGATTGGTTACGGGTGGCAGTTAGGGAGGATGAATAAAAGGGGAAAATGAAGGAAACGAGAGATTAAAAAAAAGATTGGTGCGATAGAAAATAGCAGTAAATAAGAAAGTCAGATCACCAAAGAACAAAAAAGACAAACAATTTTACCAATAGAGAATCTTATATAAAAAGAGAAATGTGTAAACCGAAACTGAAAAGAAATCCGAAATATACTTGTCGGCTTTGTGTATTTTGTGTCGAATTGCTTTGTCGTTTGTTTCTTGATTTATTTATTTATTTTTGTTGTTGTTTTTTACACGCGTCTCTTTGGGCGAAATTATTGCAGTTTCTACTGATGCGTTCATTGCACAAGCAAATAACAGAAAAATAACGTACGTATGCATATGCGGTATGTGAATTAACAGTGTGCGTGTGTGTGTGTGTCTGTGTGTGTCTGTTGTGTGCGCGTGTGTGTTTGAGGGCATGTAGAGAATGTCACCTAATTTCCGGTTGAAATCGAAGAACGGACTCAAAGCGTTGTAAAATAATGAAAATAATAGAGAAGATATAATTAACAAATTGATAAGTATAATGAAGAAAGCAACAGAGATAGAAGTCAAAACAAAGGGAAATATACAAATTCAACATTAGAACTGAGGAAAAAAGAGGAGAAATATGGACTTAAAACCTAAGAGAGATTGGAAAACAATATTAAATAAGTTAATTTACAAAAGTATGAGGAATTAAAAAGGAAGGTGAACATCGAAAGGGAAGAACTTGAAACATCTCAGTCCACATAAACCAATGCTTGCTTTGAAAAATAAAAAACGAGAAAGTTACGAGAAAGTTACCAATTTAAAGACAATGACTAAAAAAAAACGTTTGCTGTAGAACTATATGACACCAGAATAAATATACCACAACAGTTATTCCAGCATAAGTAATTCGACGTGGGGCAATGATTAACAAGCTAATCTGAATCACAGTTACTACATGGTCGTGAGTTCGAATCTCAAAGAGTGACACAAAAGTTTAAAATTCTGCCAAACAAATCAAAGTGGAGTAAATAACAAGAGTAACCCCGAATTATGGAAGGGAATTTCCAAAGATGAGAACAAGCGAACAGTTTGTGTTTCAAAATGTGAAATGCAAAAATAAGCATTAAGCAAAATTTGCATTGAAGCAGACATTTTGAAAGATGTATGAGAATGCCACAAAAGATTACCATGTGTATTTATCCAGCGTATGTGGAAAAGAAAAGTACATCAAACTTCAGCCTATGAAGAATAATTTTACTCCCTTGAAAAGGAGCGAATAAAGATCTTCGTAATTATCACTTTATCACATTAATATCGAATTTATATAAATTGTTCTCAAAAATACTTCCAAAACAACTAGCAAATACTCTAGATAAAATTAACCACACAAACAGACAATTTTGAGAATCGCTTACTCAAAAATATAACATCTATAAGCAATAGACAAACTGGTCGAAAAAACAACAGAATATTACAAATCATTTGATTTAGTATAACACTCGACAGTTTTTCATTTACTTCATATCAACTAAATTAAGATGAAAGTTATTGAGAATATACATGATGATTCTTCGATAATTGAGAATATGAAGAATATTTGAACCATTGAAGATTTTCTGATATAAATATCAGAATAATCATACGAATTACAAGAAATGCTACCAAAAAATTATCTTAATAGGGAAAGAGAAGGTAGATTTATAATGAAGAGGAATAAAACAAAAGTGATGTTCAATTGTCAAATTCCGAAAACGATTAAAAGAATTGATGTTGAATACTAGAAGTTTAGATATACATCTACTTAGGAAGCAGGGAGGTCATTAAATCTGAAATGAAACGATGTATCACAACTGGTTGGAAAGCATCTAATAGAACAAAGACAATGAAAAGCAAATTGGCAATATACTAAAAAAGGAATGTTTATAATGAATGTCTAATTCTAAGTCTATATATCGTACGGATACGAAATAATTAACAAAACTGCTTGAAAATAAATATAGAATTTCACAAAGATCAGTGGCTTGTGATAACTCGAAAAGGTTAACCTAGATCGAAGCCAGACCAAGTTAAGAGATACGACAGAAGTGATTAAGCGACAAAAGTGGTAGTGCGAGGGACAGATAACAAGCATCAATAAGGGAATAAAAGTTAGTTGACTAGTACCTACAAGTTTAGTTAGTTGATTGGTAGCTGGTAAATAAAAAGAATAGGAAAAGACCAAACATTTTACGGATAAGACATAACAAAGAACAGCATAGTCTCATTTGTCATGCAAAGGCTTTTTTCTAGCAGCGGACACGCAGTGACTCATGACACATATATACATATCATAATTTCATAATGTGGCTATTAGCACGCTAGTTGTGATAATCATGACCCTATCCCATCCCACGCATTTCAGTACTAACCACCCTGTATAAAAGGCCGCCTAATCACCAACAGTTCAATTTAGCTGAATAAAGCTTTTAAGTTGATATTTGGCGTTGTCTTTTCATTACACTAGTTTCACAAATTAATGAAGTAGGCTTGGTCTTAAAGAATGCCGTATTGTGAAAAAGGACTGTTTAGTGATTTAGAGTTTATAACTTGTCACAACTGTCAAAAGTCGGAGTTCGAACCCGACGGAGAAGATGCGACATTAATTTTCAAGGCTTCTTGGATGATTAGTATAATTTTAGTTTTTCAACTCATAACCCCGCCATTAAAACTCGTTAATAAATGTATTTATATAAGCCACTTACACTAGATTAGTTAATAAGCATGTTTCTCAGACGAATAGTGTGGAATCAATGTTAAAGCATATACCTTATATTGGAAAATGACCAGCACGAAGCTGAGACAGCAATATTATTCCCATCAGTTCAATGGTCAGTGTTCTTGCTCAGGTAAAAAAAACATTATTTCAAAGGCTGATTTTCAAGGCAGCCATTCTTTCCTTATTAAGATTGAAGACGTAACGCAATACTTAAGCTACACATTTCTCTTTATTTGACGTAGAGCTTTACGAAGATAACCGTAGTGTTTTTTCCTTAGCATGTTTTACATAGTATCTATTATATAGTATTGGTTAACTAAACTGGACCATGTCTCTCACACAATGTCTCTCACATCATCCCTTGTTATATTCTGTCAACTTATATAAGCTTAATACAGCCCGTCAAAAGTGTAAATTTTAATTTCATTTTTCGTTTCACCTTTTGAAAGTGATGTCTGAAGATCCAGGGAAAAGTGGTCTGTTTTTCTTTAAATTATTCGATCTGAATTAACATTGAGCTCTCAGGATTTCATCCTACTTGGGATTATCCATACGGATTACCAAGTTTTTCGTTACTTATATATATATATATATATAACTGTGGGAGAGGATAAAATGACTGATATGAAATATCCGAAACAAAAATATGTAATATGTGAAAACTAGTTGGATGCTTAAAATTTGATTCTATTGTTAACGTTTCGTTCAGTAAGAACATAATCAGAGGAAAACCTTGTCACTTATGCCATTAATTTAAAAAAAATTTAACAGTTAATAAAATTGAATATAAATATTTGTGAACAATTCAATGAAAGTTTTATAATATATATGAAAATGTTGAATCAAAACGTCAAATATATTGATTTCATGCGGGGGAATAAAAAAGTTATGATAAGAGAAAAAAATGGTGTATATTTAAAGAAAACTGAGAACAAATATAATGGAAATTGTAATCTGTTATAATATTATTAAGGTGTTAAGGAAAATATAGAATGAAATTAAAATTTTCTTGTTTAATCAGTATAATTTTATTTAATATTATTTTCTTTAAGTATCGTCTTAGTCAGAAAAGGTAATAAGTTAGGACATTTATGGCTATAGACATTATGAACATGGAACTATCAGTTTCATGCTTCAATACGATCTATACGTGTGTGTGTGTGTGAGAGAGAGAGAGAGAACGCGCGCATGAGAGAGAGAGAGAGAGAGAGAGAGAGCTGTTGAAAAATTTAGAACACGATCCATTTCTAAAAACCTAATCAAAATACTGGACATCACCATGTTTTTAAAATCCCTTTTTGACTTTCTAACACCTACCATATATATATATATATATATATATATATATTTATGTATATGTTTAACTAGGTCTCGCTATCAATGCATACTTATATATATAAAGAGAAATATATACATACTGAAAATTTATATATAAAAAAGTATATATATATATATATATATATATATATAGATTTTATATATATATATATATTATCTATATGTCTTTCTATCTATCAATGTATATATATATATATATATATATATATATATATATATATATATATATATATATATATATCATACATACGCATAGATTGATGTATATATGTATATGTGTGTGTGTGTGTGTCTGTGTAGTTCATATATGCAAGTTTTATATATATATATATATATATATATATATATATATATATATATATATATAGTAAATATCATTTGAGTGCCAATATGAATAAGGATGCTGCAGTAATTGGTGTCCAAGTCGCCGCCATTCAGCCTCGAATTCACAATAAAAGACAATGGAGGGTTAGCATATATTTGGCAGATCAATTATGTGTTTCCCAATTGGCTCTTCGTCACACTTAATATGCATGAAAGTCGCATGGAAAGAAAACTGAGTTGGGGTGGCGGGTGTTTTGCGTGACAGGGGTCGGGGTCATTGTTTGGTAAGTGGGTGGTCGGGTCACTGCAACGTCGTCGGATAAATCCATTTGGTGTGGCCGGCAACTAATGAGATGTTTGTAAGTTGCGGTGGTTTTTCTGAGAAAAGTGTGAAAGAATTAAGATGGCGAATGAAGGAGTTGGTTAGAATATAGAAAGAAATTGAAGATAAATAGACAAATGAAAAATCAGGAGGGGAAGAAAAGCGGAATAGGAAATGAAAGAAGGGTAGGTGAGAAGGTAGAATGTAAGAAAAACAAAAGAAAGAAAAATATGGAGTGAAGAAATATAGTGAGATAAAATGAAAGAGTATTAATGGAATGGAATAATTTGCAAAAGATCGAAATGAAGATAGAAAGGAGGAAGCGAAGAAAGAAGGACAGGGAAAAGAGAGGGAAAGAAGAATGAATGAATGAATGAATGAATGAATGAAAAAGGTAGGAAGGACTATATGAAACGAAAAGTAAGAAAAGGAATGAAAGGAAAACGATTCAAAAAAGAAGGATAAATTAATTAAAGAAGGAAAGAAGAATCAAAGAAAATGAAACAGAAAGGACGTAAGAAGGAATTAAATTTTGAAGGAAAACAAAAAGGATATATTTGAAAATATATAAAGATTGAAAGAAGCAAGAGAACATAAGGAAAGAAAATGAAGAAAGCAAAAGCAAGGGAAAATGGAAATAAATAAATGAAGATAGTCGAATAATTTTTTTCAGGTGGCTAAAAGAAAAAAAATGTCAGATAATAGAAATTATTCACCTTTTTCACGAGAACGTACTATAAAGCAATGGTTAACAAGCTTGTCACGCAGACCAGTTCACGAGTACGCTGAGTTACCATATAAGGGCAATATTGCATAGCACTCCACATGGTAAATATTCAGTTTTTTTGCTTTTCATAAATGTACCAACTCAACAGATATTTCATACAAAACGTTGTTTTATCTTGTCTTTATATCAGGAACACCTGGAGATGGTAGAGAGTTGGACGCCATGCCCTCATAAAAATGATTTCTCCATAAGAAAAAGACGTTGAACTGATAAAAAAATATGATTGAGAAGAGAAAGAATGTATACTTGCGTGTAGAAAAAATTGTGCATGGTCAAAAAATATGTAGCATTAATTTACAAAGGGCAAGAATATTTCCTTTAAAGTAAAAATTAATTGCCACTGATAAAACATAAACAATGCTCCGAACAAAAACTTTATCAAATTGTGATCCTACAGTCATGCCAGATTTCGGTTTTCAGGCATTTTTCACTCATCTAGGACACCCCTGCAGTACATCACGATTTCACCAGTTATGTCGAAAGTAAGTTACCGATAGAGTCTCAAAAGTTTTTCGTTTCTTGGAAGTTGCACAAAATTCTTGAGACTTTTTCGAATTTAAAAAAAAAAAAAAAAAAAAAAAGGGCTCCTGTTTCAGTCAGTCAGTCAGCTACCCTCTGCACGTAAATACCCAGAGCAAGAGCTAAGTTAAAAATCCGCACAGAGTGAGGTTTTTAAACTAGTATTTAAATAAATGAGACAAATCCAAACCTGATTATTTACTGTAAAATTGTAAATCTCCGTAAACAAAGATCAATTGAATTCCCTGGTCGATCTAAACATAGTAACAAGTTTTTTTGTTTGTTTTTTTTTTCAACGTTAAATTGAGCTTTTTTTTCTTTTTCGAGTGTAGCCTTTATCGAAACACAGAATACTGTACTTAGCGGAAGTTAAGTATATATTTATTGTTTGCCTTTAGGGGCTTCTTATGATCCTTTTTATTGTACTGTTGTTTGTTGCAGTGTTTGAATTTTTTAATTAACTACAGTTGATTTTTAATTTATGATGCATATGTGAAGAGTAAAAAAAAATAAAACTCTCACCCGTTGGCCTGATTTATTTTATTAATCCCACTGGTCAATAAATGAAATTATATTTCAATGACAGTAAAATCACTTTATATTTTTTGGCACAAAAATAACGTAAATTAATCCGAGATTATGTTTCTTATCGTTTAAGAAAAGTTGTTAAAAAAGAGCTTCGAATTCAAGTTTGGTTAATGACGATGTTCGCTACGAAAGACAATCAGTCTTTCA